ATATTATTGCAGCATTTTTCATGTGCTGGGAGCATTTGCAGAATTGTCAGGCGCGTATTGCGTCTGCTGGAACTTCTTTGACGCCCCTAAATTTGTTTATAGCAATGAATTAACTCTCTAAATAACCTCCAAAGCATTTATGTTTTGACCTTAATCGTTCTAAAATCTTTTTTAATTTTGAGCTTTTAATGCCAAAAAAAATCATTATGACATGAAAGTAATGAAGAAAACATCATAAATTGAAGAGAAAATATTACATGCCATAAAGAAAGTCATATGTATGACAATTGTTTGGATGGTGAAACGAACGTACGACAACAGTCCGAACATAAAATAATAATAATAATAATACACGGGAAACTCCGTGCACATGCACCTTGAAGAAGGATGTGATGAGCCATGATTAAGTTGTGAAGTAAATTTTGCAGACAAAAGATCAAATTTAGAATTTTCAACTATTTGAAAAACAAAATGCATGAAGAAACATATTAGCTATGGGGTTAGTGTTTTATGCAATGGTTTGTAAGTCTGTTATTGAGGCTTTGATTGGTATACCTTAATGAAAATGCAAATCCATATGATTTAGAATTAATGGTTGTTTGGGATTATTATTATTATTTTGTCTCTTAATTGATTTCTATTTTGATATGAAATAAAAAGAATATTTATTGTTTTAATATCTTTCTTATTTTTTAACATTAAACAATAGGGATAATTACATACAAATCGCCCGAAACATTAATATTTACAATTTAATACTTTTAGAGATAATATTAATTATGATGTCAGAGTAAGAAAATGACAATAAAAGATAAATTAAATATACTTTAAGATCTTTTTGTAATAAGCATCTACTTAGTATTATATGTACGAACCCACTCTAAATAAGAGAAAATTCATGTAACAAGGGATTAATTATTTGACACTGAATCATAGCCATTTTTCCTCTCCTAAGAGAAATAATTTTTTGTCATTACTTTTTGTTTATTCTCCTTCATTTCTAATTTTTTCTTTAATGTGTTAGTCCATAGATAAATCAAGATTCAATATGCATAAATTATTTTGTTAATT